GGGAGTGGTCGGGTGGTCCCCCACCTCCAAGAACACCAGAGGGGTGCCGGAAGATCAACGGTCAGTCCCTCGGGTTCAGGGAGATGTTTACGCTGACTGAAAGGGGTAGCCTTACCGAATTTGGTCCGGTGTTGTATGCAGAGTCCCAGCAAACCGGTGAGATGGAACGTGGATTGTCTATCCGTGTGTTAAGGGTACCGTGGACCTAACACGCGCTCACCAGCGGGTCTCGGGAGAAGGTATAAGGGCAGAGCCTTTCCACGTCCAGTTGCCAAAATGTTATTCTTTTGTTTAAGCTGCAGCTGCTGATATAAAGAAAGGAACAACAGATGAACAACCCACGTGGAGTTTATTTACCAGAAAGGGGGGGTGAAGGGGATGGGTAGTCAGCCAACCCAAGAGGAGCCAAAAGAAGAGAGCTAGGGATGGGTGGCTGGAACTTTTAAAGGGAATGTTGCATATGCACACTGGGGTTTTGCACCTCACAGTTTTTAATGCACGGCAGATGAGTGCCCCGCTGTTAGGGGGCGGGGTCAGGGTCATCAGGTGTATTGTTCTTACAGCCTTGGCTTTTCACAATTTATCTGCTATCATTATGGAAAGAGCAGAAAACTTTGAGCAGTCCAAACACTGCATGCAACTCATAGCATAGTCACAGATGTGAACAAGGCTGTCTGTCTGCGGGTGCATGTTGACAAAGAAGCAAGAGCCCTTGTCACTTGTTCAGAGCCAAGACTACAGTGAGATCGTGAAAAATAGCACAGGCAATTGCTGCCAGAAACACACCCACATTGTTACACGGTTGATTTTGGATTCACTTTTGGTCACTGCACATTCAGGAGCCTAGCTCTCTCTCTCTCTCTTCTCTTACACGGTTGATTTTGGATTCACTTTTGGTCACTGCACATTCAGGAGCCTAGCTCTCTCTCTCTCTCCTCTCTCTCTCTCTTAACTTGATAAAAGTTTAGTTTTCATTTTACATACCAACCCCAGTTACCCCTCCCCCCACCTTCTCTGGTGGCCCTGCTTCCCAATCCTAATCCAATCCTCCTAGGAGGTAAGGCCATCCTTGGAGAGTCAACAAAATCAGGCATACCAAGTTGAGGAAGGACCAAGCCCCTCCCCCCTGTATCAAGGTTTCCCACCATAGATAATGTGCTCAGGAGCCTCTTTTTGTGGCCAATTTTTTTTGTGACACCCCAGTGTGCAGTTGTGGCCTATAGTTTAAGAAGCTGGAACATGGGACACATGAACTTTATAAATAAAAACAAATTACAAGCTTCATATAACATGCATAGTGTGGATCCTGATGTGAAATACTCTGGCTGTACAGGGTGTGCTGCATAAACACCTGTTCTGTTCACATTCCAAAGAAAAAGACTAAGATGAGGAACCCATACCGGTTCCTCTGTCTTCCAGGTAATGGGAATTCCCTCCTCAGCGGCCCCTAGGAAAAACCCAAACCTTGCCTGGGATTTCTTTGTCGTGTTTGCACTGGCTCCTTTCTCCCTTGTAAATATTTACCTAATCCATAATCTGGATGATATCCCATATCCTTCATCATTTTTTGAGAAGTAGGGGAATATTGATTGCTCAATTTGAAGCCCATGTCTCTCAAGAGATCCCTTCCCCATAGGGAAACAGGAAGTTCCAAAACGTAAGGCTGCATGACTCCAGAGTGTCTTTCCCCATCTTTCCACTGTAACTGTCTTGCACTCATATCCGGTGTTGTTGCATAGCCTAGCCCTTGTAGGGTTTGAGAAGAGGCTTGCACTGGCCAGCCTGCAGGCCAGTCCTTTTTAGCAATGATGCTCCTATCTGCCCCGGTATCCAGGACCCCTAGGACTCTTTTCCCAT